TATGGTCCATTCTTCCTCTACGAACAAGTACATAAGTGGCAATTTAGTCAAAGACGAGAAAACAGCACAAGAAATTTGCCTTATTTACACGTATCGGCAATGCAAGCTGCCCAGCGACTTCCCCTTCTGACGTCACAAGGGGAATTTCTGTATGCAAATGAGAAGCTAATGAGGAGCCTCATTTTAAAATACACAAAAATAAAGTTTCCGTAGACTGAGTTTAAAACACATTTTTTCACTTAAAAAATAATTATTTATGCTTACAAACATAAAAATTATATAATATTTATGTATCAATGGATAATTTTAGGCGTGAAAATAGCAGCCATTTCACAGGCACTTTAAATCAAACAGTTTGGAAAACAACTATGCCATCTATCCAACGTTTTTAAAATGGATATAATTACGTTTGTGTGTGCCTACGCTAATTGTGGTGTCAAACCTCTAATTTATGTGTTGCCTGGCAACCATTGTCGTAAGATATCTCGCTCGCAGATATTCCCCTAATTGGTGACATAGTTAGACAGCAGTAATCATGGTAATCTCAAAAGCATACACTCACTAGTAATATACATAATTGTTAGTCATGTGCACATTGCTTGATTCGAGAATGTAACTCTCTTGAAATTTTTACGGAAGAAATGATGCAAGTTTATTTTGCGAAAGGTGGCTAATGTTGGAATACAAATGATATCGTTTTGCCAAAGGTAAAAATGATGTACAACTTTAGCCAAGAGTCACTGAAAGTAAAAGACTGATAGATTGATCTGTTAATGGTAGGAATCTTTGAGATATGATCGCAATCTTAATGTACACACACTGGAAAGTATAGAACTACTGTTGATAAGTGATCCATCAATGATGCATATTTAAGTCCTGTACTAGACATTCTTAGTGATAAACAGTTTGTGTGTATTTTGTGTGTGTCCTATGACATAAAGTGTCAGTGACTTAAGAACAAATTTGTCCTCACGAAAGCATAAAATCTTGAAATCTACCCCTGGTAGCAATGAATATTAAATGGTTTTTCTATTAATTAACAACCTCATTTTTGGACAAAAAAATGATACAATTTTATTCATTAAACTATTATGTTATTTGTACTTAATTATAGGTGCATTCACTGCAAAATTACCGGGTCTAAAATTTTCACATATCTTAAGCACTTTTAAACGATTTTATTTGATAAAATTTTAAAATAGCCATAATATAATTTGATATAACAAATTACCATTTTTATATCTATACAGTATATTATGATATACCAGTGAGAGCCTAGCTACTTTCATCTGCTTCCATGCCGAACTATGCTCTATGATCAGTAAACTCTGTTGTTGTTTGGAGGTGGATTATTGAAACATTGCCTCCAGATATAGAATACGTGACTTAAAACATGTCCCAGTTGACTGAGAGGTGAAACCATACTACATTATTGTCTATGATTTTGGAGTTCCTCCATTCCGTTAATTGATCATTGCCTGGGTATTTTCAATCAGTCAGTCAGTAGATAAGCCCTAAGGCAGAACATTTCATCCTGTTGCATTGTTATTCTACAATGTAAGTGATAAAGCTGATGTAATATACATGTACATAGAATGATTCATTTAATGTATTTTGAAAGTTGCACGGTCAGTTGATATTCAACTGAGCATTGTGAATATGATGTAGCCATAAGGTATAGTACATGTAGGCACACTATGAAATTGGTAATATATGTATATAATGTACATGTCGTATTCAAACAACATTTCAGGGAACAAGGCAATTTTAGCCAGGTTAAGTGGATTTTACACTCAATGATATAAATGTGTTGGTACTTTTGTCTGGATACCTACGTCTATATTGGAACCCTGTCAGAATCCTGCCCCACTGTAGTGATGTAGATTGAATCCAGTGCCCAGTCATAACATCCGATTGTACATTCATCATGACAAGCTTACAACTATTTTCATTTCACGAGAGTCAATAGAACTTACAATATGGTGAATCAAATTTTAACCGGCTATTCTCTATGAGTAACTGATAATCAGAATAATTATCCATGGCAATGCACTGCAATGACATCTTGTGTTGGAGTCCTGGTGATACACATACAAAGGGCCTTACAAATTGCAATCATTTTAACATGCAAATTATTATTTTATATATTATTCAACAGTTTTTTCTCAAAATATAAGTGTACAGTAAATAAAAAAAGTATCCCCCGATACGGACCCCCCAAAATATAAGTGTACAGTGAATACAAAAAAGTATCCCCCGATACGCACCCCCCAAAATATAAGTGGACAGTGAATACAAAAAAGTATTTCCCGATACGCACCCCCCAAATTAAGTGCACAGTGAATAAAAAAAAGTATCTCTCGATACGCATTTTTCACCTCCCAAAAAATATAAGTGGACAGTGAATAAAAAAAAAAATATCCCCCAGTACACCTCTCCCAAAAAATATGAGTGAACATTGAATACAAAAAATGTATCCCTGGTATACATAATTCATGAATGCTAAAATAGTTAACTGTAAAGTAATATTGCAAGAGTTATATTCCTCTGTTAATTACTGATGATATTACTGGAATTTTGATATTATGAACCATACTGTGACTCTGTGTGCAAGATTAAAATAGCATTTATATTATCATCTATAATTGTTACACACGGTGTAATTATTCAAAATGTCAATAGCAAAATGTTATTTATGAATAAATGAAATATGTAATATTAAATCCAGTTGAATCAATAAATGACTGTCTGTCAACTACAAATTACAGTGTAGGATGTTGACACTTCTAGCTTGGCTCTCCTGAACATTAGTGATTAGAGTACCTATGCATTTACATGCACCTCTAAGTGGTCTGAATTGGAAGAGTGGTAATGAGCTCTCATGGGTCTTGATTTCTGTTAGTGTATCAAGTTTGTAAAATACATTACATGTATGAAACACTCCTGTGACGTCAATGGGTGTAAGTGAAACCGTTGACGTCGTTGATAATGTTTTAAATTTGTGGTTCTTCAATAAAAGATTACCTGATTTACTTCATCTTAAATGACTAACAACTTCACAACCAGACAAAGCATGTCATTTTGACATCACAGACACACTTTGTCATGCAATGAATTGTTGTTGGATGTTATTTTGACATCACAGACACACTTTGTCATGCAATGAATTGTTGTTGGATGTCATTTTGACATTATAAACACACTTTGTCATGTGATGATGCGAGTATTTGCATCAGCAAAATCTTAACACATCAACCATTAATGTTGCTATTTGTATTTTAATAACGCAATTAAAGTATGCCCTCTATGGCAATAAATTGAGTTGCATATATTTGCTCTTAGAAGCACTTATAAACGCAAATTGCATTAGTTGTACACTGAATTATTAGAATAGTAAATAAAAACTTAAAAAATAATTATTCAGTCATTCCCACGCAATAATAAGAGAAAAAGAAACTTGTTTTTTTTTTGTTTTTTTTTTATCTTCAGTTAATAAATAATTTTGAATTCATAACTGAATCTCAAATTAGATCAAAATTCCTTGGCAACAGTTTGCACATGGCAACAAGTGTTTTATCATTGACTTCACGTATTGATTAATTTTGCACTTTAGCTAATGATCCTATAATTGTGTCTGGTTTTTGTACAAATTTATATTAATATTAAGTTATAATATAAAAATACTAAATCTTGGTTTCCACTATGTATAAAATAGTTCTAGCTGTGGCTGATAATACTGTACAATGTTTTTCTCAGCAGTGTGTCCTCTATCGATAATATTGGCAATCGTTGTCCTAAGTAACACTTCTAAATAACTAGACCTTTTAAGCAATGGATTTTTATCTTAGCATAGAACAGGGCTGATTTTTATTGGGATCCCAAGTTAAAATAGAATCCTCCAAAATCATGTTGAACCAGTTAATTAACTGCCTAGGACAGGAAAACAAAACAAAAACAAAACTGTTTTAGGTGACTTGAGGCACAGACGCTTATTTTGTTTAGAAATTGTGAATCCCGTTTTATCAAATTACAGATGGAAGTAAATGAGCTCTACTGTGGATTTAAAATAGCATCCTAATTATACGGTACATATTCATGACACTCATGAATATTATACTTCAGAAAAACTGTTAAATTATTATATAGAGAATATTTCTAGCAGCAAAAATTAAGATATTTTATTGTCACCGTGCTACTATCATTCTATGTAGGGCAAGGGGAAAACATCTGTCATCGATATTTTTTGGAAAATTAACATATTCATTTTAAAAATATGACAGTCAGTCACTGACCAATGCAAAATCTAGGTGAGTATTTCTAGACTTGTGGTGATGACCCCATGAAACAATAGGGAGGTAACCATGTTGGGTCAAATGTCATGCACATTGTTTGTTTTTGATGTCTACTGTATGATGACTTGTGTTTTTATTTTGATTGCTGTATGTCATGGATGAATGTTTTTCCATTTTTTCTAGACTATATGCAGGACCTGAAGTGGATGTATGGAGTTGTGGTGTCATTTTATATGCATTACTTTGTGGAACTGTAAGTAAAATGTTCCTTAAGCTTTTGGCCTAATGAGATACTTTTGGTCAATGCAGGCCCTTCAAAATTCAAGTTCGTGATTCCATACGAAATGTGTTTAAAACACAAAATGACATGCGGTCTAGGAAAATGTTGATTGCAAAAGCATGGCTTGACGTAGCAATAGTCATTCCATGTCTGAAACAGTTTGCAGGAAGTGAATACATTAGTTTATTTTGCATGTTTTTCTGCCTTCTGTAGCTGCCGTTTGATGATGAGCATGTACCAACCCTGTTTAGAAAAATCAAAGGTATGAACAATTTCAAAAAATATGTGTGTGAATATCTGTTTTTATGTCACTGTATAACTCCACATTTGCTTTATTAGTAGTGTGTAATCTTATGTATTAAAACGCTCTAGGTATGTGTATGGTAAAAATGGGTTATCCTGTGCACAATAAATACATTTTTGGTTTATGTTCATGATCTAACAACGCAATTACGATGGTTGTAAATTATCATTGACAATATTGTCACAGTTTAAAAATGCAATGAACTTCCAATTTTCTTGTTCTTCATTTTGATTGAGCAGTACAATATTGGCAGTGTTAAAGTATTGTCTGTATTGCTTGCAGTGAGTCGTGCTAGTATTAGTGTGTGTTATTGTTATTAGTGCTCCAGATGAGCCTTGTTCACACATGCTGACAAACATAGGGCTACATTGTAGATCACTTAAATATAAATAAATAAATATATGTGGACTAAACCTGTGTTCTGTTCATATATTGCAGTGGGATATATAACTTAGCTTTCAAGTCATATTCATCCACTATTGGGTAGCCGCAAGAGGCATTGTTTTAACCTGAGCACTTTGTTCACACGTCTCATTTCAGGGTTAAACATTAAACTATATGGGATCGATCTTGACGGGTACAATTATATTTTACAAATCTGATTCCTTACGAGTGGCCATTTCGCATTTTAAAAAAGGGGTCTCTGACATGCCTCTTTAAATGTTACTTTCTAGAAAAAAATATTGTAAATTATGCTGAACCTAAATATCATTGCCCTCACAGACTAAACTTGCCTGGATTGACATCGGGCTAATCGCTTGTTCACACATGTTTTTCAACAGTAGGTTAAAATCTCTCAAGGTTGAAGCAAAGAACTGTAGTGTCTTTGGTTGACGCCAGCGTTTTGCTACATGTGTGTACACTGTGTAAGTAACCAGATGCTGTTTCTTTATTTCTTAGCTGGAGTGTTTACAATTCCTGACCACATTGCCAAATCATCAGTGGTCACATTACTCACTCACATGCTACAAGTGGATCCATTAAAAAGAGCAACAGTAAAAGATATCAGGTAACCATATGTCCACATTGTAATCACTCCTTGGCCCTGGAAAGAGCAAAATCACAAATCGTTTCGTCCTTTTTTGGTGGTGGTGGTGATGGCTGGAATTAATTTTCGCTGAGTAGATCTTTTGGATGTTTTTTTTTTATGGAATTTATTTTCACTGATTTTTGACGAGATGAATGTAAAATACCGGAAAAAACTGAATCGTTCCTTCAGCGAGAATAGCAAAAATTAATTCTGAGCGAAACTAGAGTATTTTACAGTAGAATGCATATTTAAAACATCCCTAGTAAATCATTATCAGTCTGCTGAGACAATAATAGATGTCTTGATTGTATACCCTAATACTGATTGCTTGAAAAAGTTTGATTATGTTGTATAGTTATGGTGCTGTTACTTTTCCATCTAAGCAGTAAATTACTGTAGTGGTGATGGGCCATGCTTAGAAATTGTGCATTAGATGATCTTTAAACAGACCTGGTATTTGTAAACATTCATCAATTGTATGAGCAGGTCTTTATTGCTTCCTAAAACCAAGGGTGTTATGAAAATGGCTGACTGGCAGCCATAATGCTGGAATGTAACCTTCTTTATCTGGGTTGACCAATCATCTGTTAGCAATCCTAATGCAAGTATGTATGTTTCAGGGAGCATGCGTGGTTCAGTAAGGACTTGTCAGCTTACTTGTTTCCTCTAGACGACTATGATGATTCATTTATTGATGGTGATGCAATCAAAGAAGTTTGTGAAGTAAGTCAATACATCAACTTCCAACCAACCCTGCTGCTACTTCTCACCATATCATTCCCTTTCTAACAAACCCCCTTTCCTGTCACCATGTCTTCCTTCTTCCAACCAACTTCCCTCTTCGTCTCAGCATGTCTGCGATTTTTTCTCTCAATCATCTCAGTACTAGTACCCTTCCCTCTTTCTCTCACTGCATGTTCAACTACCAGATCTTTTTCTACCAAGCTACAGTGCAGTCCGTTCTTATCTCAATGTTTAGCTGCAATGTAGATTCAAGCTTGCTAAAAGCTATCTTCATTCGCTATCAAAACTGACATATATCCAAATTGAGTAACATGCCTTATATCTCTAACATGGGCAAATACCACAAAACATAAATCATTAATGACAATGATACACTTTAAAATTTATAACTTCCTATGAAAGGATAATGCCAGGTGAAGTTAACTTATGGCCGGGTTATACTACATGTATATCTATTAGTTTTCTATTCACCAATAATCACTGTTCTCCTAGAATCTTACACATTTTTCTCACCACATATTAACCTACCGAGATGTCTTCTCTCTGTGCCTCTGTTTTCATTCAACAATCTTTTTTTTTCCCTAGCAACTCTAATGTCTCATACATGTATGTACCAGTACATCCATACCCACATCAACCTCTCTTTACTGTCTTGATAAACCAGTTCCTGGCCTGAACAGTGTACTTATGATAACATTGCTAATAATTTGGTCAGTTACCATAGATACTTTACCATAGATGATGGCCTGTGTTACTGGTTTGCCTAATTAATGCTTAAATCGATGATCAACCTGTCTGTCAGCTATGTTATCATAGCAACTCAATTGTAATTATACAGTTCACTTGTGAACTGATAATGTTCCTATTATATAAGTTCTTACCTTCTCCAAAGACTATTCCTAAGTCCCTTCATATCAGCTATACATCCAGTCCCAATCCAGTCCCAATCCAGTCCCAATCTAATCCAGTCCCAATCCAGTCCAGTCCCAATCCAGTCCAGTCCCAATCCAGTCCCAATCCAATCCAGTCCAATCCAATCCAATCCAATCCAGTCCAATCCAATCGAATCCAGTTCCAATCCAGTCTGAATTCACTCTAATCCAATCCAATCCAATCCAGTCAAATTCAATCCAATTTTACATATATCATCTCTCCTAATTTGATTACAATCTGATGTACATAGAAGTTCCAATTTCTTTTTAAATCCAGTCACTGATGTACATTGTCTCATGATGGGATTAGTCAACCAATTAAACTGTTTACTAGAAAAGTGCACTCTGAAAAGAACCTAATGCAATTTGCATTGTCATATGTAGTTAGAGGCAGTGTACATTGACGAATATAAAATTAAAAGCAAACACAGGTTCTACCTATTTAAACTTGATTGCCTCTCTATTACTCTCTCTCTATTACTGTCGCTAATTATAACCGCTATTGATATTCATTAACTCATCATGGCCAACTCAGTCGAAACATACAACAATGACTGTATGTCCATATTTCAGAAATTTAACACAAGAGAATCTGAAGTACAAAGTGCAATATTGGCCGGAGACCCACATGATCAACTCAGGATTGCATATCATCTTATCATAGATAATAGGAGGATTATGGATGAAGGTGAGTTCAATGACCTCCCAAGATGAGTCATATTGTCATGTGCAGTCACTGTCCTCAACCGTACATATTTGCTCTGGACTATTTTTTTTAATATTAGCAAATGCACTTACGTAAATGGCTGGGGTGTGTTTACAAACAAATTTGGGTTAATGTGCTCTTCTAGTAGAAGAAATACTGTACTGTACTGTACACATATACTGTACTATGTACAAATACACTACTCTCAAATACTGTATTGTAAACAGATGTGGCACTGTAAATACACAAAACACTCAAATTATAAAACTATGAGCACTTCTAGTTGAGAAAATTAAGTAGTATGCAAATTAGGGCTCTAATTGTGTTGTATATTCTGCATATATTTGTCATTCTTTAATTGTTATTTTTGACGAGGCCAGAGATATTCTGTTTGTCTATAATGAATAGTGTTTCATACAAAAGGGTGAGAGTATTTGAAAGTTGTTAATTTGTACATTCATGTTCATTCTGATTCTTTCACAGCTGTTAGAGGTCAAATCAAAGACTTTTATCTGGCGTCAAGTCCACCAAGTGAACAACCTGTTTTCTTCACTACAGAGAAGGTCAATAAGGTAAAGTACATTTAGAATCCACAAGATTATATCACGCCAAATCCAGCAAAATCAATATTTGTACCATCCGAGAATGCCTGTACTGATCATTTTCAATTGCATTCATTTTTCAATTAGATTCAATATGCCTGCCTACAAGCCATTTTATCCAAAAAAGTTGCTAAGCCTGATCTAAGTTAATACTTTTTCTCCAAACATGGTACATACATTAAACTATATGGGATCAATCTTGGAGGATACAATTATTTTTTACAAATCTGATGCAAAATGGCTTACAAGTGGCCATTTATTTTTATTAAAATGCTGTCTCAAACATGCCTCTTTAAATGATACTTTCTAAGAAAAAATTATTCTTGAAGCAGTTCTGTACATGAATAATGTGTGTAAATTTCCATTACTCACACTAGGAGTCATGTGACTTATTCCCCCAGATGTTGCTGTTTTGCAGACAACATTGTTACAAATTAACAATTACCATCCCCATGTGAAGATATTTTATCATATCAATCTCGTCTAAATTCTGAATATTTCCATTTCAGAGTCCTCCAGCTAATACACCTTTGAAACCCCACCCTGAAAGAATGGATAGAATGCAGCGTAAGTCAAAAGTTTTAAATAAATACAAGTCTTTGAGTATTTTCGGGGGTAGAGCTATGTCTCAGAACTTTCTACGTTGCTAAGATGTATAGCACTGTACTATGTACTTCTATGGGCTCTGCTTGAGATGCTAAAACAGCTAAAGTCACACAAATTCAACAATGAAGTAATCCTGGGCAACCAAGTTTATATGTGTTGTACATATACACTTGTTACACTGTTCAGAACCTGTTTTCGCCTCCTGTTTTTTCTCCATGATGTTTGCCAGGCAGTGAAAATGCCCGGATGTCCACCCCTGAGAATAGGTCGTCAGTATTTGTTTACATTTTACGTGCATGACTGGTTGGCAGGACCGGTCATTAGCACCCTATGATAAAACAAAGGCATTAAATATATGTTATTAAATATACATGTTTTGTACGATTTGCTGTTAATAAAACAACATATTGGAAATGTTGTCATAACAGATTAGAAGCTGGTGCTCATCAGTAAGCGACATTTATCATTATACATTCCTATGTTTGTTGCCAAATGATGTTACAGTGTAAGGGCAATAATAGACCGGTTTCAGGTTGCTTGTAGCTATGTTACTTAGTATGCACCTGTTTCACCAGTAGTGAACTTTTAAAGGTTATGTGGACGCACAAAATACAGATTCATTATGTACTGTTCAAAACTGAAACTGGTATTATTGTAAAATATCTTTCTAAAATTGCTCACTCTTGCTGACATGAAATGAATCAACATCAATCACCACCGCCCCACCCCATCTTGCAGGCATGGTTACTATGCAACAAGAAAACTTGTAACTTCGCTATACTCATGTCAATGAAAAAAAAATGATGCAAATTGTTACAAATAATCACTGTTGTGGAATTCTTGACTTGTTGGTATGAAGGGAATGGTGTTGCACAGTGTGAACAATATTTCTGCCGCAGTGATGTACGTGTATGTATGCAATGTAGGGAATGATTGTTAAAGTGAGGGGTTAATGTATCAATTTTTACTTCTTCTTTCCCCTGTGAATGAAAGTTTGCCTGTGCAAAATAAATGAAACCAACAGTACAATTTTTCAACACAGTAAATTGAAATCACATTCCAACATCCTCTAACCAACCAAGAAATTAAGTTTGCTGTATGCAAGTTTTGATTACTGTAGAATACTGTATTTTCGCTTGGTATTCATTTTCGCTAAAGGGATGATTCAGTGAAAATTAAATCCAGTGAATATACTTTTTTTCGTATGTTTTACACTCATCTCGCCGAAAATCAGTGAAAATACAAAACACCCAAAATGTCTTTTCAGCTAGAATTAATTCCAGCTAAAATAAAGTATTTTACTGTATCAACTGCCCCTTAGATCTCCTAATTTTCATGTGCTAATTGGTTTCAACAGCAACCAACATAAAGCAGGGATCGGCCAGTCCTCGGTTAGATGCCAGGATGCACAATAGATTTACCACTCCAGTCAAGAGATCTAAATGGCATCTAGGAATCCGGTCTCAAAGTAAACCACATGACATTATGGGGGAAGTGTACAGAGCAATGAAGTCATTAGGCTACGTAAGTAATGTCATGACATCATAGTACTTACTGTGCAGGTGCAAATTCAATGCTGAGAATTTTAAAATTATTTTTTTCAATAAATGTACCGGTAAGCAGTTGTCATTGAATTTCAAACACCTTTCAACATGGCAGAAATTGAGGTATAATATTGGAAATGAAATAAATTTCTACTGTATTGAACTTGATTCATGTAGAATGAAATATTAACACATTTGATTTGCCTCGTCTGCTGCCGTTTGTGTGTTGTCAACGCAATGCAGTAAGAGTAATCGTCATATGTAGCATGTTTCTCAATATCGTGTGTGATTATTTTCTAGGAATGGAAAGTTATCAATCCCTTTCATTTACGAGTCAGAAGGCTAAATTCTGTAACTGGAAAAATGGTATGTACACTTTTATGTCGGTATACTGTAAAATGACTAATTTTCACTGGGTTTACATTTCACTGATATACCATTTCAGGCATATTCAGTGGGTTTTAAATTCACGGTTTCGTCATTTAGATAATGTGTTCTATGCTAAATTTTACATATTCACTGGGTTTTAATTTGGCGCATTATCGAGTCAGCGGAATAAGCTAAATTAAAACCCAGTGAATAATTACCCCTTTTACAGTATTCTATTCTATTCACGTTGTAGTGAAATCTTGTATATTTCCAAAGTAGTGCTTGTACGTTGTCTACTACATGGATGAATGGTTTTGTTTGTATGTATTGTGAAACCCATTGTTTATATCAAATGAGCCTGTTGTCACTCTGTAAACAAATAATTTGCATAGGTGATGACTTCACTTTGAAAAAAGTATGTTAGTCATGTGTGTGGAAGAGAGCCTACTGCTAAAATAAAGTCATGTGACCGTGTATTAGCCAATCAGTACCTGTAATGCAGATGATGTGTTGTAATTGTCTTTATTGTTTGTTGTAGGTAAAGATGAGTCTTCAGTTATATCAAGTAGATCATAAAAGTTATCTTCTAGATTTTAAAAGTCTTAGTAATCCACAAGATTCAGGATCTATGACACCAACAACCTCATCGTCAGAACCGAGTCTAGGTAGGTGTCGTAATGTTGCACTTTTGAATCGTAACAACAACAAGATATTTTTCAGCAAAACTAATTAAAAGCACATTCTCATGTACTTGAGACTAGACCATTTCTAGGGCCATATTCTGCTGATTATTTAAGCAACTTGATAGGAAATGCACTTCATTAATGTTTGATTAAAATCAGTGAGAATAATTTACATTATAAGTTTAAACTTTTTAACTTGTATCTCAAGAATCACAATAGTTTCAATTGAACTTAGTACATACTTAATTTTTGGTTGGCAGTTTATAAAGCACAGACACTGATATGCCAGCTGACTGGCCTGTTGCACTTTAAGTTCCGCCCTATAAATGAAAAGCGGTCAATTTACACCTACATAAACCATTTTCTCACATAAAATAACATTAGGGGTTGAGTTGAAATTGTGCATGTCAATAACCAAATTTGCATAAATTGGACAATTTTCTGATATTTCAATAACCAGTCATCAGATTTTAATTAAATTGAACTTGGTTCATAGGTGCTCTACAAGATAAACCACAGTCTGCAAACCACAGATTGGCAATCAAAGTGGTTCCTTTTATTTTTATATTTCTAGAGTTTACTGTTAGTATTATATACTTCAGTGCTGTGAATCAGTTTGCTTTCACATTGTGAATCAGAGCAGAATTATTATATCCGCCAACAGGCTTTTTGTTTATGTAGATTAGACTTGTTTGATTATTCCCTACTTTATTTCATTTTATATGCCTTCAATACTCTTTGCACATGAGTTTTTGCTAATTTTTCTCTGATTTTTATTTTATCAGCGGATGATTCGTTGATGGATGTTGATATCCCCCCATCGCCAGGTGGACTGACATCAGTATCAGGAGTTCACCATACATTGGAATTTTTTGAAATGTGTGCCAGTCTTATTACCACACTTGCTAGATAGAACTGTATTTTAATTTATTTATTATACTGTTTACAAAATAGATTATTTTAGCCGCTGTTCAATTTGTTTTGAAACAAAGTCATGGTGCACTTGTTTGTTTCATAATACATACAATGTGCTTTTCTCACAAAAAAAATCTTCATAAAAATTTTACTTGAAAATTGACATAATTTTACATTTGGAATTGCAAATACACTATAGCTGTTTTTCATTTGTTTATTCACTAATTATGTTCCATTGATATGCTCATATTAATTAGCTAATTTACATACCACTTTCAGTACGTTTTTATCATTTCTTTAGCTTGTTATTTTAGCTAACGTCGCTACCTAGTATGTTCACAAATTCAAAATGTAGGTGATTTGTCCCAAGGCTGTTTTGAATTGGCCAATGGAAATTCTAGAATTTTCGATGTTGTAATCTGTAACCTAGTTAATGTGATTAAAGTACAAACAATTCAGAATTTGCAACAAATTGATTACTAATGTAATTAGGCTATGCAAACTCAGGATGACAAATTGATTAGGTGAAATCTCCCCAATAGATGAACGTCTGTTCACAGCAAGGTCTTGCGTAATACGTGGACTAGACATCTGCCGAGAAAAAAAGCAAGTAAGTTTATTTTGAACTTGGAATATTGAAATTTCCTTACTTCATTATCAAATGAGTATAGCACATTAATAATCATGGGAAAACCAATCATATACTTTTGCAATAGTCAAATCCCATGGGATAGTCACTACAACGCTATGACCTTTGTTTGTCCTGTTTTTGTGTTTGATTTCACACATAACGCAAGATCTTGCAGTGAGCGGGAAAAGTTGTCTATCACGATAGCTGTAGTATGAATTAGTTAAATCGTGGTCACTTGATAGTTACGGCACATAAAGCACTCATAGTCGTAGTTTATATGCTACGACAGTCACATGACCATTATTTAACTGTGGATACGGTACATTGTATACCCTGAAAATAAATTGACAATTTAGCAAATTGATACATTAAGGTAAACTCACCTACGGTAGATCTAAAGTAAAATATTTACATTAACCATGTGTATATTAATTTGCCAATTAGTGTTCAATTGATAATAATGCATTCTGTACACAGTTTAGATCCAAGACTGACATGTGGTACTTATATTAATACTTAAAACTGCTGAAAAAATGGGAAAAAAAAAATATTTCCATTTAATTTTTTGTACAGTATTATGATTCTTATGTGTATTGTTCATAGTGTTTATAGAGTTGTATATTAGCGGCCTATTATGGGATAGGTATAAGATAATAGCCATATTGCATTGTGGGATAGCTATCCGATAATTGGGATTGCATTGTGGGATATCTCATCAGATAGTGTTTAGTAAATTGCATTCTGGGATAGCTGTATTATAAATAGACATGAGCGGAGCAACCGTTCATTGTACATATTGTAGTCGCGTGCACCAACATTTGCATATTGCAGATCAATTGTTTTAATTTGTTTGGATGACTCGCAATGTAAGTTTTAAGTTACGAAAAAAATTGTACTAATGCCACTAAGACGTGAAATACATGATTAAATGTGATACATGTTATACTGCTAAATAGAATTGTGTAACGCAGCTGTAATATTGGTTTTTACATTGTTTTAAAACATAGAGTAGATCTAGATATAAAAAGAAAACTGATGAACTATTACTAGCGATAGTTTGGTATGTTGTTATATTATGGTGGTTACTCGTTATTTGATTGCTTGTGATCAAGTTATGCCGTATTTACTATTATTATACATCTGTCACCGTAACGCCATAGGTTACAGCGTGCCATTATTTTGTGGTATTTTACGGGGTATTTTCATCCTATCATATTAGGAAATGCAAATTCCAAATATTGAATTATTACGCGCGTAAGCATCCTCTAATAATAAAAACAAACATGGCTGCCACCAGAATTTAACCGGACTCCATACAAAGAAGTTCGCTGATTATGTTCTAAACTTTTTAGATTTCGGCATTCCCATGATATATCCTTGGTAGGAAAAAATGTATAATAATAAGGTTATTACGAAGTTACCTCAAAGTATGCACTCAGACAGTACGCTGTCGCAGTGATCTCGCTGCGTGTCGGTCGATACTGCCGCTTTACTGTCTTCGTGCATATTTTGAGGTATCTTCGTAATAACCTCATACTATTTCTTTCAATTACACTGTACTTGTGATGGTGATACTACAAGTTTAACTCATTTATATAATCAGTTGAATATTTGCATTAAATATTCCATTATGGATAATAAATATGAATCAGTTTATCTCTATGTAAGTGTCATCTTATCTTTAAGTTTTATAATATGCATTTATACTATGAGTTGTCCTGAACTGTTTCATATGTAGTTTCCACGATGAACTGAAACAGAACTTGGTCTCTAGTTTCAAACTGTGTATTTGGACAATTAACCGTAATAGTTTTGATTTGCTAACCTGTGTATGATTTTCTTTAATGCTGTTAACATGCCGTGATGCACAGAATGCTTATTGTACGTTTATGTACATGCTTCTTGGAAATCTGACTTGTATTTGCAGAATGTGGTACACGCAAAATTATGAAATCATAGTGTGGTACACACTAAAGCATGACATCATAGTGTGGTACACACTGAAGCATGACATCATAGTGTGGAGCACTTAAAAATCATGATGTCATATTGTGGTACACACAAAAGCATGACATCACACATATAGTTGACATTAAACCTTTGCACACAAAGGCATAGCGTAATGGTGGTACTTACCAAATGTTGCTGTAATCTATAAGGTTTGAGTATTTGTGGCAGGATTGCCCAATCAACATGAGGTCATGACTTTGTGTGTACTATTTAGTGAGGTCATGTCTTTGTGTGTACTATTTAGTGAGATCATGTTCACGTGTGTACTATTTAATGAGGTCATAGCTGGAGTTTATGCATACTTGCCATTGAAGTATAAAGCTGATTTATGTGATTTTACCTTCACTGATTTTGCATTTATTTAATAATTTCTAACGTATTGTTTCAGTATTTTAGCAAATAAAAACTATTTTTTATTGTTAATACTCCAGTGTTTGTGTATGGTTAAACTATCGTGATATGCAGCAGGAACACTGTCTATTTGCAGCTGTGTTTATACCACTGATGCAGTGTCTGTAAAATACCACTGAAATAAGTGGTAGATCAATGCTTCATTATTTTATGGGAGAAATCAGGTACTATTATTTTGTGTTCCATTGTCTGTTTGACCATCTGGATGTCCGAAGCCATTTCTCAGACATGCTTTGATAGACTTTAAAACTTAACACAGAGACCATGTATGATGACTTACATAGGTACATGTTTTCATTATCATTTGATCAATTATGGCTGACTGGTGCCCATTTTGGTCATCAAGGTTGCAAAATTCTGATACCTAAACCAGGCCGTTCCTCTAAAGAACAGGTTGATTTCATTCAAACTTTGTGTCTTGATCACACATATTGGGTTACAGGTGCACGTCATGTTTTTTTTTTGAGTATCGAACAAAAATGTTCAACTGGTCTATTTCTTATGATTAGGGTCAGATTGCAACCCATATTGTAAGTATCGGTAAAATAACTGAATCTATGATATTTATTGGTACATGAATGACTGTGGTTATACTAGTGTTCATGGGTGTATTGAGCCTCGTTTTCGTCTAATTATTATGAGATGTATGGGGGTCATGCCAACGTTTTCTGTTCAGTTTGGGGGTGCTCATTCAGTGAATTTACGATAGTGTTTAACCTGAGCTCTCATATTCATCAAGTTACTATGAAATATCTCTCATAAAAGTGGAGAGGCTACATACTCTGAAAATGCATGTATTGAAGGCGTTCAGAGCTGCTTAAATGCTCGTTTTTGCCAAATTATTGTAAAACATAACAATTTGCTGAATAGAACATTTATTTTACTAAGTCTAAGCATATTTTACTTAATATATGCAACACGGTAAGTATTGTTACCAATATTTGATGCAAACTCTAAGTACAGCTTAATAACAAATGATAATCATGGTTTTAGTGAAAAGCCTACAAATACACACCTTAGTTATTTACGACCATAAGGGTTCTCCCAAATCTGTTTAATCGATATCAAAGCCATTCAAACCGCCTTTGTATGTTATTATCAACGTGTTGTGTTGTTTTACATTGCATCGTAGTAAGGTCACTATGTTCCCAGATCAATTCTCATCCTACTTTACAACACACTTATTCTCCCACACTTAATGTACTGTATTGAAATCTAGGGAAACACATACCCAACACTTCTTGAACCAGTTCTGCTCTTACAAAAAAAAGTTGTGCGCCTTATCACCTTCTCGCACTTTAAAGAACATTCTGCTCCTCTTTTTATTCAATTACGCATACTTGATATTCACAAACTTTGTAAATTACAAACCTGCCTATTTATCTTCGACCTTAAACACAACAGATATGCACATAGCCTCAATAAGTATGTTAATGATTACCCACATTGCTATCCACAAGTTCAGTGTCTAGCGGTAACTTGTCAATTCCTGTTGCTCAACTTACAGTTTCACAACATAATTTTAAATTTGCTGCAGTAAAACACTGGAATTCACTTCCAGACTCCCTCAAAAACATCAACAACAGAAACAAATTTAAATATGAAATGAAACAGTATTTGCTTTGTTAAATTCCTCGATTACCTCCCATTTCTCTGCATTTTTTTTCTTTTCTTCTGCATATACATTCGTTGTACCAGTAGCTCGTTTATATTATTATTACACATTTTTATATCTAAACCATATAGATTACCTTTTACTTTTCGTTATGTAAATAGTAATTTTCCTTTACTAGTAAATTGTAAATTTCTACTTGACAGTCTGGGGCATGGACTGGACTAGTCCATAAGGACTATTTCCATGGTCCACACCATAATTACTACTATTGTATTTTGTTTAAAAGTTCTGTAATAATGGTCATTCTGGTGAAATAAATAAATAAAAATAAAAATATATGGACTCATAGCGACGTATACAACGCGTGTAAAATACATTGTTTATTTACATGAAATTTGAACACGCGCTGCGCGACGACCACCGCGCTTTATAACCTTGTTTTTGTCAAATCATCTTTAAAAATAACCAGTAAGGAATGAGGTATCTTGAAAGTTCCAGGGCGTAGTGGCGAATCTAAGGTAAATTGTAGCAAAGACGAAAGCAAATAATGAAACACTTAAATGAATTTCAAACTACATTATATGTACTGTATTATATGTAATTTTACACAGTATTGCTGTAATTGCCTAAAATGTCAAAATAAATGAAAGAGAGAATTCAAGACAAGAGAGGGAGGG